AGAAGTGATACTGGAAGGAATCATGGCTGAGTATTTCCAAAAGACATGAAGGCACAGACTCAAGGAGCGCTAACCCTTGACCACTCACCACCAAATTGAGGAAAAATGAAGTTAAAGAGAGGACTTTAAAAGTAGCCAGCAGAGCCGAAACCGGTTTGGCTCAGTGGATGGAGCGTCGGCCTGCAGACTGAAGGGTCCCAGGTTCGATTCCGGTCAAGGGCATGTACCTGAGTTGCGGGCACATCCCCAGTGGGAGATGTGCAGGAGGCGGCTGATCGATGTTTCTCTCTCATCGATGTTTCTAACTATCTATCCCTCTCCCTTCCTCTCTGTAAAAAATCAATAAAATATATTTTAAAAAAAAGTAGCCAGCAGAAAAGGCACAATTATGTTAAATGGAGCAAGAAGCACAAGGCTACAAGACTCTTCAGAAGGGAACACGAAATAAAGATGTTTTTGGATCAATAAGAGGTGTCAGGGTTTCTCACCAGCTCACTCACACTCAAAATAAACATTAAATGTTCATCAGGCAGAGGGAAAACTATCCAAATGAAAGGAGTAAATAAAGTAAGAATAAAGACTGCCAAAGGTAGATAAAACTAAATAAATATTGACTGTGTTACATAATATCTTGTGGGATTTAAAACATATATACAATAGACATGATTTAAAAAACAAAAAAAAAGTTGTCAATGAGAACTTACAAATCTGGAACCCAAAGTCTTATCTGAGACCTGCCCCACCCCCCCCCAAAAAGCACCTCCCCAAATACTGCTGCGCCTACTGCCGCCTAGTGGCAGCATACAATAGTTGCAGAGTAACCTAGGAGAAAAGATTTACAAGGTGTAGTAACCAAAAACCTAAAGTTATCAGTAAACATGGCAACCTGGCATCAAGTTGTCCAATAAATATTTGTTGAATGACTAGGTCATTGCTGTTTTCTTCCTGTATTTCTTTTTAAGAAAAAAATCACACTAAAGTAAAAACTGGCATCTGTCCATTATACAGAATTCAGTCAAACATGCTGAAGTCCCAAAGATGGAAGTAAAAACACAACCCAGGCCCACCAGCCAGAATAACCAATCACAGAGGTGAACGTCCTTTTAGACAACTTAATATGCAAACACAAAAAGAGAAGCATGGGTGATGAACAGATGGGTAGAGATACTTTTATGAAAACAATCATATCTTGGATACAATTTTAAATTTAACTTTACTTGAGTTTCACAAAACAAAGAGAAGTTTATGGAATTGCTGAATTCATATATTTCCTCTATACAAGAGACACTTCCCCTAAAATATCCCTTCAAGATTAAAAAAAGAAACTGAGAACATTAAAGGTTGAAGTCATTATGATTTTCTCCAAGGACATAGTTTCATTTTTTTTTTTTTTTGGTATAGACTAACTTCTTGCTGTGAAAGATGAGTTCACTGGCCCAGTCACATGGGCATGAACACACAGTTCTGAAAATACTGAAGCCCTTCTGTACAGTTAGTAAATGTCAGCCACTGGACTCTGCCCAGTGCTCTCCCTCTCTCCTGGCTGCCCCATCCGACCGCCAGGACTGTCTGCCCCAACCCAAAGCCACGGGGGAAAGGGGACTCTGGTCCCATCTCCCAGTCGCCTTCAACACCCACCCCTTTGCCACAAGCACCTTAGCTTCCATCTGCTTTACATAATGGCCTCAGATAAAGCTTTTGAAAACCCCTGCTCAAGGTCAGCCCTCAGGCCCTTGCAAGTTTGCACAGCTGGATGAATGGAGGCCTTTCTCCCAAACACACTAGCTCCTATGAAGTCAAGTGCTAACCTCGCATCCTAATGGGCAGCAGACACAGGCCTGCGGGTGTGGAGATGACCCCTGAGCCATCTCTAAATCGGATGAGGCAGAAGGTGCTGGAGCCCAGGCTCAAGAGGAGGCAGCAGGGAGTGGGCTTTGCTCTGTGCCCAGCCCTGTGCCAGGTGCTCATGGTCCAAATCCTCTCCAATCCTGAGAGGTGTCTCTTTGCTCCCTTCCCTCCCTCCCTTCTTCCTTCCCTTCCTTCCGGATTTACTGAGCACCTGTCTGTGCCAGGGGCTGGGGTATAAAGGCAAAGCTAGCATCCCCAAAACCTCGCCACCCCATGAGAGCATCATCCAGAAAACGGCTGTGACCAGGGTGGGCAAGGATGCAGGGGGAGCCCCAAGTGACTCAGGGAAGGTTCTCCAGTGGAGTTACAGCCAAGCTGGGACCTGAAAGATGAGGAAGGGCATGCCAGGTGGAGGGAACTGCCTGTGCTAATGCAGGGAGGCAGGAAACAGTCTGCCCGGTCGGGGAACTGTGGGAAGGCGATGGAGCCCAGGTACAGGAAATCTGCTGGGTGAGGTTGGGGTCCCAGAACCCACTACCTGGACCCTCTACCTCCTTGACTTCCTTTGCTCTGGGCTGCCTGGCCAGGAAGAGCCCCCCTCCCCCCCGCCCCGCATCTGCACAAAAGGCGGCTTTGAAGCTGGAGAGAGGGAGTGAGGAAGGAGGGGACAGCCCGTGTGTATTTTTGGATTGCTTCTCAGACATCTCCTCCTCCTCCCATACCATGGCAACCAGGCTGCAGCTGGGGGAGCAGACTGTGAGCTGGGCTGAGTTGAGGGGAAGTGGGCAGGGGATAGGGACCTCTGCTCCCCTCTCTGAGCCTGTTTTGGCATCTAGAACATGGGCACCACCACCCAGCTGCTGGCTCCTGTCGACCCAGGTGCCCCCGGAAGCAGAGGCCCAGGCTGGACGCATGAGGGGGAGGCCTGGGAGGTGAGGGCGGGGCTGGGGAGGACCCTGCATCCTCCTGCAGTCGGGGATCCGCCAGGCGGCGGGAGTCCCTGAGCCGCGGGGCCTGCGCTTCCCACCCAGCAGCTGCCTGGTGCGCCCACTGCACCGTCACTGCCCAGGAGCCCCCGGGGAGCAGCAGGCAGGCCCCAGGCACAGGCTCAGAGATGGGTCTTCCCCGGAGCCCCGCAGTGAACGGTCTAGGGGTCTCCCCTGCCGGGGCACAGGGCTCAGCGGTTCCCAGAACCCGGTCAAACCCCCAAAGGAGGGTCCGTGTCCTGGGGCGGCTGCTCCGGTGACTGCAGACTGGCCTCAGCCAACAGGAGCAGGTGCTCTCCCCGTTCTGGGGCCAGAACCTGAAATCAGGGGCTGTGCTCCCTCGGAGGCTCCCGGGAGGGTCCTTCCAGCCTCCGCAGCCTCTGGGGGCTCCTGGCCGCATCCCTTCAATCTTCAAGAAGGAGAGTGTTTACGTGGCCCCGTCCCCTTACCCAGAGGTCACAGGTAAAGGAGTCACAGGCTGTGGGCAGCCCCGGGTTCCCTTTTCAGCTCCGCCCTTTTGCTGCTGTGTGCCCTCGAGGAAGTCGCTTGCCCTCTCTGTGCTGCAGAAGCCTCACCTGTGCCATAGGCCACCGCTGCTCCTCACAGGAGTGTGGGGTGCTGGTCTGTGCGCCCCACTTGCCCTGAGGGCTTTCCGCTCCCCAGTCAGCACCCCCGCCTCACCACCCTCCCTCCCGCAGCCTCCAGGGACGGCACAGGCCCCTCTGACCTCCCGCATGGACGGCCGCTGCTCTCCTGTCTCCTTTCAGTCCCAGCTGTCACTCCCGCCGGGAAAGACAGGACTTTGTCCAAGGGCTGCTGACAGGCAGGCGGACAGCCAACCAGGGAGGCGGCTCCCCGGAAACAGGTCCATCCAAGGCCTCAAGGGGGCGGGGCCACGCGACCACCAGGAAGTGGACACTGAACAAGGGGCGGGGCCACGTGACGGGGGGTGGGGCCAGGTAAGGCTGACCCCCCAGCACGAAGCCTCACGCTGAACCCCAACCCTAAAGCCCAGGTCCCGGCCTAAATCCTAACCCTTTAGCCCTGGGCCCTGATGACCCCTAAGCCTTCCCCAACCCTTCCCTTCTCATCCTCCAGCTTTTGCCCTCACCCCTCCCCCGCGCTCCCCGCGGCCCCTCATCTCCGCCCTAACACTCGGCAGCGCGTTCCCTCGAGAAGCCCCAGCAGCTCCGCCCGGACTCGCGCCCGCAGACGCCAGGGCAGCGGGAGTGGGCGCGTGTCCCCCCAGTCCGGGGTCCGGAACTGTCGGCCAAGCTCACGCAAACGGGGGGGGGGGGAACTTTAAGAATCCCAGGGAACGAAACCCGGAGGTTGGGCCAAACCCCTTCGCCAATCGCTTTCGGGCCGGTTGGTTTCCCGGGACCCGCCTTTCGCCTTCCGCCTTTCCGGGGGGGCCCTGGGGGATCCGGGGGGGGTATATACCCGGCCCATTGGGGGCCCCGCCCCCCGGGGGCGGGGAAAATTGGCTTTCCGGGGAGGGGGCCCCCGGCTCTGGGGGTTGCCCGGCCCGGAATTCCCCCACAAAAATGTGGCGGGCCCGCCGGTTGATTTGGGAAAGCGGGATTCCCCCGGCGCCCGG